ATCATAAAGAGAGAATGCACATACCGGTAATAACAATGACACATTTAAATTGAAATATTTTTATTTTAGTTGACCACGAGGCTTACATTAAAAGATATAAGCTGTACTCTTGCATTCATTCAACTGTATATGGCAGCAACAAATCAAATAGAAATAACAGACAAATTTGTAGAGAATAATTCAACATAATTGAACACACTAAAAGAATTCATCAACCTTTTTTCATCAGGTTTGGCCTGACTGGAAAGCCTGAACAGTTTGATATCTACGTGTAGTTTCAATGGACAGCATGAGCACTGTGCTAAGACATGATTTATAAGTGAAGTTGCATTTCTTGTGCACTGAAATATATTAAGATTTGAAGACAAACAGTTTTGACAGATATGCCTTGAGTGGCATTTTAATTTCACAAATGTCAAATTGTGATTCTGTTATTTATTTACATTTTTATGTGAATTTTTATTTTGTGTATTTGTCAATCCTGAGAACAGTAAGTGTTGTAAATTCTGTGAATATGTCAAACAAAAGTCTTTCATTACATCGTAGGACAAATTTCTAACTTTGACACTACAATGTTGTAGAGTTCATACCATATAATTACATTTAATTGTGTGAAAACGCTACTAATATAAATGTAAATGATTCAGTTATTAGCACAATGCATAGATTAAAAAAAAGAAAGGAAACAAGTCTATTTTCTCTGGGTTAAAAAATGGCAACATAACTGGCCTTAACTCACATACTGCATTACAGCATTGCAAATCTGCCATACTACTGTAGAATACTTTATTTTCACTTGTAATTTATTTTCGCTATTTTCGCTGAAGGGATGATTCCGTGAAAATAAAATCCAGCGAATATACTTTTTTTCCTATATTTCACATTAAACTCATCAAAAATCAGTGAAAATAAATTCCAAGCAAAACGACCAAAAAGCCCTTTCAGCGAAAATTAATTCCAGTGAAAATAAAGTATTCCACAGTATTCCTTCTGACCAATATATACACCATAACATAGTTAAACTGTGGTTACCTTTCCCATTTGTTGGTATTCCTTGAAAGTGTGAAAAATTGTTAGCCCTTTCATTTTATCATGGGCAAAAACCCAAGTCATGTAAGGAACAAAATTTGAAAAGTAGACACTCAATGACTAATGTATAAGAAAATGTAATCTGACTGGTAGTTTTCAAAATGCAAAACAAAACATTACAAGGAGCCTGACTGCTGAAAGAGCTTTATCGTCTAATAAAAACATTGTGGTAGTAAATGCATTCCAGCAAGACTCAAGAAACTACTGTAAAACCATTGATTATCACTGACATTTAATTTTAGTATTTTGAGTTCTATTGTTATTAACAAAAGGAGCAAAATTAAAAAAAACAGCGAGTAATTAATGTGTTTACAATAGTTCTCAAAAATATCCCAGCAATCAGGCTGTTAGTTTCAAAGAAGAAGTTTTATTAAAAATGACCAAAATATTTGCTAAAAATAAGGAAGACTTTATCATCAAATAAACAAATCTGGCGGGGGTCCACCAAAGGCACCTACATATTAAGTATCAAAGTAATGGGCTTGTAATTTGCAAAATTCCATTTTCTACTCAAGATGACAAAAATATTCCCTTAAAAAAAAGAAGAATCAACAACATCACCACAAAATATACATCCCTGGTATATTGTTTGTTTCATGGTAACTGGGCTTTTGACTCTTACACATTACCGTAACATATTTTATTTTCTTGAAGAAAAAAAAACACAAAAAAAAACCAAAAGACTGTATGCAAGCCTAATGCAGAATATGAATTTAAGTGAGCATTTGAAATTAAGTTAGATTGTCAGCTTTGTTTCTCCTTAAAGGTCAGTTTCATTGCATACATGTTTATCTATGAATAAGACCCTAAAGTACTGACAAAATAACATGGGCAAGAAAGTGAGGGCAGGATATCTACTCTTAATATTACATGTATATATAGATTTTTACCTAAAACAGCATCAAACACATTTTCAGTTTTTAGCTTGTTCTGGGATGAAATGTCTCAACCTTACCAAATTTCTAATCTGAAAAGTTAACACAGACCCTTGTTTAATTCATATATCCTATAGACAATGTATTTTCAAAATTCACGTTGATTGATACGATCAGGACTCTGTATCATTATCAGGACTAGATTATAAGATGTACATTGTTTACAAAATCTATGATTTAAACGACCATGTTTCTTTATTGATCCTTTGAATGCCAAATTTTTCTCCACCATTGTACATTGTGTGACAATGACTCAATTTGAGGAGGAATCTAGTCATGTTAGAACGTGTACAGAATTTAAACACAATATAGAAATCACCAACAATTTGCAATGATTATCCATGTCATATGAATTCAGCTTTGTATATATAATAACATCTGCTAGACACAAAAAACAAGAAATATTCATTGATTCCCCATCATTCAACAATTTTCTTGTCCCTGAAAACAAATTTAAACCTATTCTGATTCGCGAAATATACTGTATATTTATTACAAAGCAAAAGGCCATTGGCCCAAAGAGCAAATACAGTTTCACTTAACAATTGTAACAATAGAGAAAACAAAAATCATTTAAGTTCTGCTTTTCATGGCGAAATAAACATAACTCGCTAACTGATTTAAAATTACATCATTTCTTGAACTCATGAGCGAGATAAATTTGTTGTAAGTGGGGTTGGTGCGGAACCTGCAAAAAACAATTATCTGTGTTTTGTTTAGGTTTAGAGTTAGACCCCAGTGAGAACAAAATTGGTGTACTTTATTTATTTGTCGTTGAGTATGTATTGGCATATCAGAACCCACGGCTACGTCATCCGCGTACATCAAGATATTAAGGTTGTGAAGATCGTTGTCAATGCAAACACCCTCACATCCAACCGTACTAGTGAATGAAACGAGATCATTGATAAAAATAGTAAATAATATAGGGCTAAGCATACAACCTTGACGTGTCCCGATAGTGCATTTAAAATATTCAGTGAGACCACCAGATGAAATCACACAAGATTGCAACTTACTGTACATTGAGCGAATAACC